TTCTAAGTGGCGCTATAAAACTTGCATCTCAGTGTTCGGCCATTCTAGAGGAACTTGAGTCTTTTCCAAATTACGAGGAATTCAGAATTATTTTCCCGAAAATTTTAGATGCAATTTAACGTATTACGAAGGGGATAATTTTTCAGATACCTTCTTTCATCACATTTTTGAATCCGAAAATTTTAGGATTCCATTTTACTCTCTACGAAAAATAGCCTAACCCGGTGAGTGAAATGTGAAACTTAAAAGTTGGATGCCCTTGACCAGAACTGTGAAAAACAACAATAGGTCTAATTGCAGCACACTTTCTTGTACATTTCCTTGCCGTTGATTTGCATGACTGCAACGTGAAACGTCCAGAAAACGTCCTGGTTTTCACTTTTTATGGAGAAAATGTGGTACATGTTCTTGTTCACTTTTTCCACTGCTGCTCATTTTTTTTAGCTCCGCTATAAGATTCGTATCTGTTCGGTGCTCCTAGGGCAAATTGGATCTTTTTAAAAATTATAAGGGCTTCAATATTATTTTCCCGTTTGATTGACCTAGAAGCAATAGTACCATCCCTCCCATAGCAAGTGCTGCATTGTTGCGCGAACGCGGTCGCTAAGCTTGAATATTCACGTCGCGTATTATACCTGGTCGTTTGCGGTCATATCGAAGCGTAAAGGTCAACAGTGGTTGTTGATGAGCGAGCAATTATTGTGCAGTTGCGATGGGTTTTGTGGAGCAAGCGAGCCAGAGGCAGGAGCACACGTTACCTGCAGATTAGCCGATGGTTATTTGGAGCGGATTCGTCGATTATTCTCATAACATAACATAACATAACATAAAACTTTATTTAAACTCGAATTTTAGGGTAGCTAACAAGCTAATATCTTCGAGCTGACACTACATAAAAACTATATAGAAAATATATATATACATTAAATGCAAGGAAAGAAAATATCATTTACAATTCACAATTTTAAGTTTAAGTATGTCAGGCAAAAAGAATCTACATGAAGGTAACATCCTGTATTTTAGTCTTAAAGTCTGCAAAAAAAATGGTACGAAAAAAGTCCGGCAGTGCATTCCACTGCTTAGCTGAAAAGTAAGAAAAGGAGTTAAGACCATAGGTAGTTGTTTTAGGTTTACTTAGTGAAAGAATGTAGTTGCCACGAAGATCATAGGAAGAGGACCGGAGTGAAAACATATTCTTCATATAAGTAGGAAAATGAGTGAAAAACAAACTCTTATATAACAGAATGAGGAAATTTTGAATGCGTTTGTTAAACAAAGAAGTAGAGCTGACTTTTGAGAGAAGAGTGTTGTATGGAGACGAGTAATCTCCAAGTATAAATCTAAGTATTCTCGAATTTATAGCGCTTCGTGTGAAGGCGCGTGGAGATGGTCTGTTTGTTTTGTAGCCAGCCTTTAATTCTTCTATAGTGGATAGTACCTACAATTGCAAAACTCAACAAAATGCCACTTAAACCGACCAGGAAAGACAAGGATACGTTCAGTTAAAGGTATCTTAGCTTTATTTTGTTATATTTTAATTTTTGGACTATTTTAGTTCATTGGAGTTTCGACGACTCATCGCATTAATTTGTCCATGTGAATATTAATATATTCATTCAGTGACACATACTACGCCTGGGCCGCCTGTGGTCGAGTTTGCTGCGATTTGTACATCCATAGACACGTTTCGTTAGCGAGAACTCTTGGATTTGCATCCGTCTGTGAATCCCGCGATAGGTTTTCTGAGCTCTCTTACAGCGTTTTCTCAAGTCTAGCTGCTTGATCTAGTTCTGGCTTGAGAGTCCAAGATCTCAATATACTTTCGCATCCCAGAGCTCCCTCATAATTCTGATATAGCCTTTTGTCCTCCCATTACCATCCACCGTTGGTTGTTGCAATAGTGTTATAGCCACGGCCTCTCATTTGCCGGTTAGAAGATCGGCTTTCATTTGTTCCGTCCATTTGCGTCTAGTAGGTTTTAATTTTCTTCGGTCAGTCATGCTAAATAATAATAATTATGCTGGCGATAATCGGAAATTTTAGGCTATAAACAATTCCGAAAAAATGCTGCTTAAAAGATTTTAAGAAATTATAAAAACATCAAAAATTATAACGACATTTTGACGTTCCGACGTCCGCTGTGTTAAAAGACGTAATGCATGTGTTTAATGACGATGACATTAACCATAATAATGATAATAATAATGTTATGTTAATGTTCATGATAGAGAAGAAGAAGAAGAACAATCTTTGCCCTACTAATGCTAAGCACATATAGATCAAATTACAAAATGATGCCTCTTAATTGCTAATTGGTTGATGATAATTACAACTCATTCTATCAATAAAATAGTTTTTGAAACGCTCTGTATTGAAGTTCCAAAAAATGAGGATTTATATCTCTCAGCTAAAACTGAGTCTGGATTGACTAAAGAAGTGATTTAAAAAGGATGTCCTGTGCCTCGCTTGGGCCTTTTTACATGCGTCTAAGTGCATGAGAAGAGCTTAAGTGAGCAGAAGTATCCAGTTAACATACTCAAAGACAATGAGTTCGAAAAATCCAGAGAAGTCCTTGCAGCGAAGCGAAAGTCACTTGTTCACGAGCACGGCAAAGGAAACAAACCGTAACCTGCTCAGGCCATCGACGAAGACGAACAGGATTCCCTTTTTGAAGCAGAAGAATTCGGCGACCCCAATCGAGTTGCACTTCAAGGAACTGCACTGCGGTTTCCGAGCAAGAGAATATCAGTCATGCGTTATTGTCTTCTACCCCTCCAGTTTTTCAGTACAGGTGCAAAGTTAACGTAGGATCTATCAGCGGGTGCACATTCCAAATATTTCGTGGTTACGTGAAAATTGTCCAGAATGAAAGGAAGTGGCGAATTGTTATCGAGAGCGATGAGGACGATTGACTTTTAAGCTATTTTTTGTCAACTTTGTCCAGTTTTGAATTAATTTTCACAGCTTCAAACTTTGACTTTCACTTCAACCTGACTTGATCCATATTTTGTAATCAACAAAGTATTGTTTGATCGACAAAAAACCCTTTCTCGAATTTTCGAATCAGCAATTACTTTTGTCAGATTCCATTACAAAGCGTTTTTGTTTAAGCTAATTTTAGACGATTTCACATTCACTAAATTCGTTTTTTGAACTTGTGGTAGCTTGCTTTTGTCTGAGTTGCCGCGTCATCAAGAATACGTCACGGCGGAAGCCCTTCAAGTGCAAGCCACCGGAAGTGTATTTTATTATCAGAAACAATCAAAAACCGAGTGCCATATAATCAACAACTCACTAACCGAGCTTGCTCGAGCCGTACTAGGGAATATTGACCCTCGGTCGTCGCGCTCGGTCCGTACTGCCACGACCTCAGGCCAATATTCCCCAGTACGGCCCTCGCGCTCGGTTTTAGTAAGCGGTTAATATTGTAGAATATTCTGTACTCTTCCCAGTACTTTGTAATAGTCCTTCTTTCAAATAACCAACTATTTGCATCTACAAAGATTACATTTCAAGTAATACCTGTCCCAGGTCGTGCTGCTGAAAAGAACCCACTGCTCACTGTTAACACTGATGTTTTGGCAAAGGGTGATGTTTCTAATTTTGTGACTGGTTTAGCTATTGTTGTTGGTGATGGTGATGATAAGGTTAATGTCGTCGCAAGTGCCTCTGTTCTTGAAGTCAGTAGTGATGTCATGATTGGTTGCCTCAATACACTTGTTTTTGTCACTTCAAAAATCGTTCTCGTTATTTCTTCGTCCTTCGTAGTGGCTGCTATGAGTTCTTTTGACACTGGTTTACTGATGTTTAGCGCTGGAATAAAAATAAATGAATAAATACTAAATACATTCATACATAAATAGCCTAACATCAGACCGAGGATTCATAACAGGGTTCAAACAGGGTTCATACAAAAAATTGCAACCATTTTTCAAGGCCTTTTCAAGGACCACATTAGATTTTCAAGGACCATCTACTAGGAATATAATTTTACAGATTAATTGTACAAAAATGCGCATTCTCAGTCTATTCTAGCTTATTCTAATAAGACTTTAAGGCTTGAACTGTTTGCTTCACCAACTTGTCTACAGTTTTCAGTTTACTTGTCTTTAATTGATAGTTACTTATTGCATAAAACATGGAGCACTTCATGTAAATAACCTTTAAATTTTCTGAGCTGTTCATGATCTTTATTCTTTCTTGGAGGCCACTACATTCAAAGTGGAAGAAAATTCAAGGCTTTTTCAAGTACTAGCTGAAGGAAAAATGAAATCAAGGACTTTTCAAGGACTTCCACTAAAATTCAAGGACTTTTCAAGACTATGCGAACCCTGTAAAAGTTGATTAACTTCATAATTGATTAAAATATGAGCGCCAAACTTAGCAACTCTTCCTAAAGTTTATCTGCGAACATTTTAAAGTCATCGCAACTTGAACGTCAATATTGACGTTACCATAGCAACTAAGTTTTGCAAGCCATACTTTCCAATTTTTTTTCCTTTTTGAATTATTATGTTAAGCTTAATTTAGCATCATTTTTATCAAAAGCTTTTTATTGACTAATTTCAAAACAAAAACATGACTTAATTTGATAAATGGCTGATGGTGGCTTCATCATCATCATCAGGGTTTGCATTCCCTCTTGACACACGAACCCCTCCCTGGTTCGATTCCACAGGCGTCTGTGTTTGGCTATTCTTGACCAGAAGGGAGGGTCTCCCAGGGGGGTCCTTGCTCCCTTGTTCCCTTCCAAAATTGCCCTATGTTCGCATGTTCCCACACGTTTTCCTTATTTGATCCCCTTTTAATAAACTTGCTTACTACTTATCACCGCCCTCAATTCCCTCCCGCAAAGAAAAAAAGACACCAAAAACAAAACTTATAAAACAAGAGAATAGATTGTAGGCGACGTTCAATTTGTGTGACACATCATCTCAAGCATTTAAGCGAAATTCACAATCCATCACAGTGGGATGAGCATTGGAACTGACCTTTCCTAGTCAATCATCATAATACATAAACTCGTCAAAATTTGCCCTCTTCCTTGCTCGTCTTGACCTTCTTAATGTGGTATTTGTTTGTTCTTGGTCTTTCCCTTCACATTCCCTGCCTTCTTCGATGATGACTGATTCTACATGACCGATCATGTGAGATTGATAATGTATAAATTCGTTCTCAGTCATTTCATTAATTTTATCACTAACGAAGTTTCTTTCAAGGATTTCCCTTTCCGCCTCTTCTGTGAAAGTTAACGGATGGGACACATCGGCATCAAAGCACATTCCCCTTGCTTTTTTGGTAGCAGCGGTTTAATTACATCTTGCTGCAATACATACAATTTAATTTCGCAAGATGAAGCATCCGAGGCAGGATAGACAATGTCACCAGACGACTGGACAAGAGCACTTGACCTCTCCTTTCGTCCCCTCTCCCCTCTAGCGGTAACTGCTGTTTCTGTAGTTTCTCCTTGGACCTCTCCAATATTACCGAAATCAAATGGCTGCGTGACTTGTAGGCTGCTGTGTTAAACAGAGATTCATCGCAGAGTACCTGAGTGGGTTGTCTTTTGTATTCATGTTCCTCACCTTTTTTTGTGTGTGGCACTTTGACCATGCTTTATTCGCCAGTTTTCCACTTGCCGCACTTGGGACTTGGTTAACTGTGCAGATGAGGGTGGGGACATCTTAGGTATCAGATTTCACTCTTGGGTAATGAGATTTGGCATTTGTGTAGTAGCAGAATTTTGTTCTACCCATTCGCTTTAAGTGCTCCTTTAGGGCGCTGCTAAATCGAAAGTTAAACTGGAGCTGCAATGGCATATCGTATGATCCAGATCTCATCTCCGAGAAGGAGCTCTCTCAATTTAGCGTCAAAAGACTCTTCACTTCGAACTCCTGAAGAAGCTGTGGGACATGTTGACTTAGGAGATCCTTAATTTCCTTTAAGGCTTGCAGGATTCTCTTTTCATCCATTAAGACAACTGTAGAAACAGTGTCTTGGGGACCTTGTGTCTGGGCCGTTGTCCCAATAAAAGGTTTCACTTGATTTAAGCACCGGCAGTCAAAGTCGTACACCTTTTGAATTCTGCTGATCGCTCTGTCAAGTGTAAAGGGCACAGATGTCTGCTTCTTTTGGTGCAAGCGAAATGTGATGGCAAACTCTCTTAAATTCTCAAGGTATTTAACCAGTGGAGAAAAGTCACTTACCATCCTTAAGCAACCCGTAGAACAATCGACTATAAATACTGTTCTAACTCGAAAAGTAAAATCGAACAACTCCTTGTCACTTGTGCCCCCGATTCCCATTTCAAAGGACCAACTCATTGCTGGTTTTTCTTCGCAATTTCTATAAATCGCAGCATTGACAGGCAGCACAACACGATCGGTAAACGATCTATCCGTCATCTTGGCAATCTGTGACAACAGATTCCCGCCAACTTGTGACCCTCGTAACCTCGTACCCAGACTCCCAGCTGAGAGCCTTGACTTTGCTTGAGTTTTTGTGATCTCTTGTGCAAAGTAAGCGTTAAGCATATTTTTAATAAACACGCGCTAATTATTATTATAAATGCCTTAGTATTTAGTAAATTATTCTATTGCTCTTCTGTTTGGAGCAATACTACTCAAACTAATCTGGACAAGCTCCAAGCAGTACAGAATTTCGCTTGTCGTATTTTGAGCGGCGCTAAAAAATTCGATCACATAACTCCTTTGCTAAAAGACTTGCGCTGGCTACCAATCAGGCAACAACTTTATTTTCGTTTTGCTGTTCTGGTTTTTAAGTGCATGACGAGTTGTGCTCCGGTATTTGACATCAAAGCTCGTTGGAAGATCCGCCGTCTCGACAAGGAATACGAGAAATTCTCAACTTTTGAACATACCACTCTTCCGCACTGCCAGCGGCCAAAGGACCTTTCAATATAGAGCAACCTCTTTCTGGAATGAGTTGCAGCCTGCGCTCAAACTTAGCCCATCCGTGACGGAATTCAAGTGTTTACTCAGGCAAAAGCTTCTTAATGACTGCTTTATTTAATTAATTTAATTAATTTTATTGACCTTTGTCTTCTTTTATCATTGTTATATTCTTATTGTCATGTACTTGGTTCATAATTTTGTAATGTAAAATTGACTCTGAAAAGCTCCGCGGGGACGAGCCAATAAAGTATGTATGTATGTATGTATGTAAAGTAGACAAAACCAATGACATTGATGAATAAATGACTATAAATAAAATCTCAGAAATAACGCTCTTTATTTCTTATATCAAAATGTTTTCGTCGTCTAATTTGTACAGTTTTGGTCCCCTGTTCCCAAAAATAGGCTCATGTTCCCTTGTTCCCTTCGATATTTTGCCAATGTTCCCTTGTTCCCCCAGACCCCTGGGAGACCCTCACTAGTTACTGTTTGTCACTACTGCCTACTCCACAAAAATGCCAGATGGCGCTGCAGTACTGAAAATAAGGAAGTACGAAAGCTTTGCATAGCCGTGCTCTGACATCATTAGAAACAAGGTTTTCAAAGCGCCTCATCACTTGCAGTTAATGATCATTTACTTTCCTACATATATTGGCTATCAAGACTAAGCCTTGAACTGTATTTATTCCGTACCAATCAACATTATCACGTCTCTCAATTTTAATACCATCAATAACAAAAGTGAAATCTATACTTGTCGTTCCAAGAATCATTGATTGAAATTTATCGGGATTTGTCAACATTCCATTATTCCTAAACCAATCAACAGCAACCCACAATTCACTATTTAAGAGGTGATGCAATTCTGACTTCATGATTTTTGCCCTAGGAAAACATTTGCTGGTCATCAGTATAAGCATTTAGCTTCACCCTAGTTACGAATAAAAGAAGTCATTTAAGAAAATATTAAATAACAACGGCCCAAGAACGCTTCCATGTTGCACGCCTCTATTTCCATAAGCCAAATTTTAACATTGTCTATATCTAATTCATTCAAGACGCTTCCTGGCTTCCGCCTTACCTGTATTAGCGGGATTTAGGGCTTGCGAGTATTTTTTTCTTTCTTTTTTATCCACTATCTACACAATTTTGCCTAATATCATTATATCCAAACATTAAGGTTGTCCATTTTTTTACCGTATTTCAAACCATAAAAACTTTATACCAAAATATCTCGATAACGCTCTTACATGCAGATTTCGCTTAAACTCCACTCCACGAAAATCGAGGCCGCTATTGGAGGAAAAAGCTTCCGTAAACCATTTTGGAAGAACAGTTCCTAGTGCCAAGATATACTGCTGCAAGTAAAATAGGCAATAGCGTCATTTCGTTGCGATGACAACTCCGATGTCGTTGCAACCTAATCATAACAAATTTCCACCTTTATCTAATACAACTGTGGTGGCAGTTTTTCCATATCTTTGTTTTAGCGACGTAGTTTATGCTCAAACTCACTGGGAGATATTGACCCTGAAAAACTGTATCGAGCCATCTTAACTTCCCTATCCTTTAGTGGCTGATGCATCTTTTGGCTCCCTCGTAAGGAACTTGGGTTTTGGAAGAAATAGATGTTTTAAATTATATTTGATTACTTCATAAATACTTTTAGACCGGGCGGTCTTTTCCTTCTTACGGCCCAAGGGTACTCCGCGGCACCCATCTATTACTTCAAAGCCTCTTATAATACGGCCACTAAACACAGAATAACTAGTGTCTTGCGTAATCTGCAGCGATTTTTTGTTCGTGTTTTGTACAGAAATGGGGGTTCATTGTGTCATACGTTCCTAGCGGAGACCGTGTAAACTAGGACTAAGAATCGTTGCGTGAGCGAAGCCACCCATGTTTAGGAAAGACTAAAAGATTCTCCGAAACGTGTCGGTCCACGAATTCTATCGCTTGAAAGCGTTGCTTACTTTGGAACAAGTGAACACTACTAACAAGACTAATGCACCCCTTGACACTTCATCTGTAGTTAACCCTTCAAACGTCACCCTCACTGATAATGAAACTCAACTCCTCGCCAGAGGATTCGGCTTCAGTCCCAGCACCCGAAACATCGACTGGACTGAAGTCAATGCAGACTTTGACGAATTCGCCCGACGTTTGCGTATTACTAAATTTTTTCATGACTTCACAACTGATAACCAATCTGACCCCTTCCACCCCAAAAGCCTTTGGACACCACCCACCGACAGAGACGTCGCGCTTACCTCAACGCTGTTAAACATGACCTATTTCACCACTAAACACAGCCGCATCCATGACAACCTGCCGAAAGCTCAACGCCGAGCTTTACCTCTACTTAAACAAAGACATGACATTGTTATCAAGTCAGCCGACAAAGGCTCGGCAATTATGATAATTGAAAGAAAATGGTACTTAGACGAATGTCATCACCAACTCAACAATCCTACTTTTTACGAACAACAGGATACTGATCTTACTGACACTATACAGAAACGAGTTACAGAATACGTCAAACGAATGCTCAACGATGAACTTATCGACGAAAAAAACAAACAATACCTATTACATAAGGATCCCAAACCCGGACGCTTCTTTATTCTACCTAAAATCCATAAAGTCAATAATCCCGGTAGGCCCATAGTCTCTTCCAACAATCACCCTACTGAACGCATTTCCCAGTTTGTTGATTTTCATCTCAAACCCTTCGTCTGCACTATACCGTCATACGTCAAAGATATCACTGAATTTTCTTAACAAACTCACCGCCATTGACAATCTTCCTGATAATGCCTTGCTGGTCTCGCTTGATGTCACGTCAGTGTATACTAACATCCCACATAATGAAGAAATTGATGCTTGTCGTTTTATCCTTCAAAAACGCACAAATAAACATATCCCTACGGAAACCATTTGCGACCTCATTCGAATAATCCTTACCATGAATAACTTCACATTTAATTCCAAACACTACCTTCAAAAACACGGCACGGCTATGGGCACGCGTATGGCTCCTTCATACGCTAATTTGTTTCTTGGTAAATTTGAACGCGACGCTCTCCTTAACTCCCCCCATCAACCATACTTGTGGCTTAGATTTATCGACGATATTTTCATGATATGGAATGCAGGTCCAGAGAAACTGAAAGTATTTGTTGATTATCTTAATAATTTATACTCCACCATCAAGCTCACTTGTTCACATTCACCTAGTAACATACCATTCTTGGACGTCATGGTTTCAGTCAAGGATGGCTCCATAGAAACAGATCTTTATACTGAACGTGCTGACAAACACCAGTATTTACTAGTTTCATCCTGGCACCTTCAACATACTAAACGCGCTATTCCTTTTAGCCTTGCACTTCGCCTCCGTCCTATTTGCTCTAACCCAGACAATTACAAACTACGTACTAACGAACTTATAGATTACCTTGCTAATCGCGGCTACGACAAAACCTTTCTCAAGACCCAAATACAACGAGCTTCCGACTTTCTTCGCACTTACAGACAAACCCAAGACTCAGACTGAAACCACCCCTTTCGTCATTACTTATAATCCAGCATTACCCAATCTTGCGCATACCATTCACAAGCATTCTAACGTGTTGTACTCATGAGATCGCTGTAGAAATGTTTTTAAAAACCTTCCGTTAGTAGCTTATCGCCGTTGTAGAAATATTAGCGACATCCTCGTTAGAGCCCAGCTTACTAACAGCACCGACACCAGTATTTCTGGTCGTCGCTAACACGCGTATTAAATCAATCCAGAAACAAGTAAAATGTATCGAAGTTGATAAACTAGGAAGTAAAAAATCCTTTGGCGAGTAAATCCTGTTTCGTGTAGAATTAATCGCCTCCTCATTTCTCGAACTAATCTCCAAGCAAGCGAGACTGGCGGCGCTGTAAGCGCGTTCTTGTCTGCTCATTGTTTTCGACATCTCGGCAACTAATTAACTTGATTGATGTCATAATGACGTCAAATTGTTGAATTTTTTTGGCAGAATCAAAATTACCCTCAAAATAGCCATAAAACAGAAAATAATTATTTTAAATACATAGTAGGATGTCAGACAAAATCCAAAAATTGCATCACACGTTAATGTGGTTTAAAGAATTCCGTAAAGCGCGATCTTCCAAATAATAATTAATAATAGAAAACAAACCTCCTAAATCTCTAC